TTGAGTAATGTCTCAGAATTGTAGTCTTACTACCATTCCACGGATTGATCATTGTCTGGTTCTAACACTGATGTACTTGAAACCTTAAAAACAGTTGTCTATTCCCCCCAAACTTCATTCCATTAAAACAGCGTCTTCCAGGAACATCACTGGATGCAAAAGGAGACTCAACAGGGGAAATACAAAAAATTACCGAACAAAGTGCTGTCAAAGGCAAAAGTAAATTCTGAACAAATAGATTCCTCTTATCTTAGGGTTATGTATATCAACAGTACATTAGGAAACCAGTGCCACTTAAGTTGGCGTCCCTTTAATGTAAACTTGATCTCTTTTGGTGTCATCCACTTTAGAATGTGATTTGTCTCTATAGCACTTTTTGGCATGTAAGAGGCATGGTTTATTTAGATAATACTTTTTGTAGTAGTTCTACTGAGTGTTAGAACATAATGGCCAGAAAGATAATTATTTTCATTTGTAAGAAAAAAATCATAGGAAATATGAATGCCAAACAAAAAGACTCTACAGTACAAAACTTCACGAAAGACACAGCAGAGTACAAACATTTCAGTTCAGTAGCATCAGATGTAATAATTCCTCGATTATACTTTACATGTATTAGAATGGCCGAAATCCAACCAAGGAGCTGGTTTGGGTGTTGGAGAGGTATACAGAGGGAAAGTGGAAAGGGATCCACCCTGCCATGCTACATCACTAGGGCCCTACCAAATTCATGGTCCATTTTGGTCAATTTCACAGTCATAGGAATTTAAAAATACATTTCATGATTTCAGCTATTTAAATTGGAAATGTCATGATGTTGTAATTATAGGGGTCCTGACTCAAAAAGAAGGTGGAGGTTGTAAGGTTATTGTAGGGGGTCTTGTGGTACTGCTACTCTTACTTGCAATGCTGCTGGCAGTGGCATTGCCTTTAGAGCTGGGCTCCTGGCCAGCAGCTGCCACTTAGGAGCCCAGCTCTGAAGGCAGAGCCTCCGCCAGCAGCAGTGCAGAAGTAAGGATGGCATGGAGTGGTATTGCCACCCTTACTTCTGCACTGCTGCCTGTTGAGGGCCCAGCTCTACAGGCAGCAGTGAAGAAATAATGGTGCCAATACCATTTCATGCCACCCTTACTTCTGCACTGTGCTGGCAGGGTGCTGCCTTCAGAGCTGAACGCCCAGCTATCAGCCACTGCTCTCCGGCCACCCAGCTCTGAAGGTAGCGCAGAAGGGTGGCAATACCACGACCCCTGTAAAATAACCTTGTGGACCCCCCCCCCCAACTCCCCTTTGGGTCAGGACCCTCAATTTGAGAAATGCTGGTCTTCCCTGTGAAATCTGGTCTTTTGTGTGCTTTTACCCTATACTATTCCACGGTCCGTGATGTGTTTTTCATGGCCGTGAATTTAGTAGGGCCCTATACATCACAGATCGAGCTGCCTCTGCTGAGGTGCGTGTTACATACAGAATTCTGTATAGTTACTTTTCTAATATTGCTTTGAATCTCTCTAGAGATGGCAATTCTGCAACTTCTTTTGGTAGTTCTGGCCTATTAACTGCCATTACAATAAGGAGGAAAAAAACCAGCATGAGTTGTGATGGGGAGGAGGCAGAAGTCTAGTATAGATTAATTCCTGCTCTATGCTTGTACAGTACTGAGAATAATCCACTCCTTTCCCATTACATCCATATGAGTATTTTCAGATTGTTATATCTGCCCCCAACCTTCTTTTCTCAGGATTCTATATATTCATTTCTTTTAGTCTCTTGGCATGTCATGCTTCCCAAGTCAATCATTTTTGCTGACCTCCTTTGGTTTCTGTGCAATTTATTAATAATTCTATTCATAGTATGTTGTCAAAAAGTCAGTATTCCAGCTGTGGCCTTGCAACATATGCTGCAGCAGCAATTACGCTCTTGTTCTTTTAGTACTTCTATTGAGAGAGCTCAGTATAGAATGGCTTTTATTGCAGCAGTATTGCCTTGCAGACTCTGGTTTAGTTATCTATCACCCAAATCAGTGATGTGCTGAAGAGGAATCCTAGGGGTTCATCTGTGGTGCAAAGGGGGAGGGGGGAATTAGAGACTACGCCTGGGGGTAGGGGCGAAAGATCCATGGCAGTCATTAAAATACTGGTGACAAATTATTGCTCCAAATCTCCCTATCCTCTACCTAAGCCTTATTTTTCTTTCTTCACTACATGAACGTCCTTGACTTTATCCTTACTGAATTCAGTTTTGTCAATTCTTTTATTTCCTTTACAAGGTGCTTTGATAGGTCTTAGCTAGAACTTAAAAGTGCTGTAAATCTTTTATACGTATATTTTATTTTTACTTTATCCTCCAAGTTTCAAATCACTGGCTAACCTAGAGTAACAAATTGCAACTCTTGTCTAGTTTGTTAGTGAATATATTGAACAATGGACTTAGATTTTAAGAAAAGTTCCACAGGAGACCGTGCTAACAGTTTGACATAACACCATTAATAATTACTCCCCATTTTGGGTATTCAACCTATATGATGGATAGTATTTCTACCACCTAGTACAGCAAGGTGCTCCATACTATGGCTAATAAAAACCAGAGTAACTTTAGGTTTTTTTTTTTTAAAAGCTGTTTAGAGACTTTGCCATTGATAGTTGACATATTTTTGCTTGGTGTCAGCTTGTATTCTAGAAAGACCACAGACAGTATGAGTGAACGTAGGAGGAAACAATACATCTGCAGACACTGGCAGACAGCACTGCCTGCCAAATTTGGCCACAGTTCCTTTAGATAAATAACTTCTCAGTGATGTGCTGTGCTGAGCTGAAATTACATAAACAGCAGAAATTACTAAAACCTGGGCTCCAGGGTTTTGTGGGTTTCAACATTTTCTGCAATCAATATTTGACATCTGCAAACATTTTTCTCTAACAGCTGATGCCAGAAACAGTATGAGATTACCATCATTTAGTAATTCTTATTCAATTCAAGATCTTTATAAGTTTGATTATATTGAAATAATTGCTTTTCATCCACAGCCCTGGTTAGGGCATTTACACTATCATAATCACCACCTTATATGGGAAAGTTTCATAAAAATGCTAGAGCAGTAACCTTTTCAAAGAGTATGACTCATAACCTTTTATAGTAGAAATACTAATGGAGTTACAAGAAATTTATATGGAAAGACATTGTACTAAACTTTCAGTAGAAAGCATATAGTTTTTTTTCCAAACTGCTGAAAATAGACCAACTTCACTTTGCATAATGAAAATATTGCGAGTTCTGTGACATCTATAAATTTTATGGTTTCACTCTAACCATTTTAAATACAAACCCCACATTTCTTCAGAATTCAGGGGACAGTTGTTGCTTAGGCCCCAATCCTGCCAGCACTTAGTAAGTATTATGCCTGGTATTACTGTAACTTCAGTGGACCAACTCATGATATAACCAGGCATAGTTCTGACTAAGTTTTTGCAGAGTCAGACCCTTAATTTATAACAGAAACGGTATGTGTTCATGAGAAAAACCCTTTATACCCACAACTGTGACATAGCCAAAATGCAATGCAGAGTGCTAAAGTTGCATCACTTTGGGAAATAGTTCTCGCTCAACTTACATAACGTTGTAGCCACAGAGAAGATAAGCTGTAGACACGTGTCAGGTGGAGGTATTTAGATTTATACTGTATAACAAACCTTTTCCGCTTCTGCACAAAACCTTTCCATAGGCCTGGATGTGTGCAGAGAGGGGGCCAGAGAATATTTCCTCACTATGATTTTTTTCATTGGTGGCAGGGGCCATCTTTTTGTTAGGTGTTTGTACAGTGAATAGCAATGCAGCCCTGCTCCATGACTGGGGCCCCAAAAGGTTACAACAATGCTGCTACTACTACTAGAGCAAGGCTATAAACATGGCTTAGATCAATAAGAAATCAGGTCCTTAATCTGCTTTTGAGGCAGTGGGAGCTGGAAAACCCATTTAATAATGGTTATCAACAGTGGGGTCACCCATACCCTATTAAGTTTTTTACCTTAAATGGGACAAAACTTTTCAATACAATTCCACAAAGCATGCTTGAGACTTATTTCTTAAAGTTCTGGAAAATTTGTTCTCTTTCTCCCCCCCCCCCCCCACTATACCAGACTAAACCCTTCTCAGTACCAGATGACAGACCCATTGTTGACAACACTTGATGTTAACAGCTCAATCTGCTAGTATACCGGAATTGCACATAACTTGTTCTTCAGTCTTCTCTCACAAAACTGTCCACTTTCAGCCCAGCCTTTGATCACCTTACCAAAGCCTAGATCCCCAATGATCAATGGAAAGTAAGAGACACATACATAAATATTTCTCCATTTACCTCCTGGTGAGTTTGATAGTTTAGTTATGCAAGTGCACACCTAATAAATGGCTTTGCTGATTCACTCCTCTGAACTTGGCTTCCGTGTTTAATCATTCCACAAATGCAGCGTTATTGATTCATTTTTGCCTCCACCTTGATTCATTTTTAACTGCAAAAAAATTCTTTCAACTACTGTTCATGAATACAGAGTAACATTGAGAAAAGATTTATAAAATCTACAGCCTATCTCCTATGTCACATCAAATTAAACACCGAATTTTAATATATCTAAAATTAATCCAACTTTAAAACAAGGTAACATTTACAAAGAAATAAGTAAAATTGTGGTTTAGCAAATTTGAAATAATTAAAGACTTGCTTTTAGGGCAAATTTCAGGCTGGAGCACTTTACAGGCAACCTAATAGCTCCTTTTAACTCTATTGAAAAACTTGCTCAAGATTAAACACTAACAAACCTCTGAATATAGCAGCCCTATATGGTGAAGCCCGTTGAACTGTTTTCGATCACTGAGGGATTTATGCAGGAAAACAAAAATCTGTATTTTAATATATAATTTTCTGCACAGAGACATCCCTCAGGATGTCCCTTCCTTACCAATCGTTTGGCAGTTTTAAACTATTACCACTAAACAATCTTCCCAAGTTATAAAAGCAAAACTTTTATTTAATGGACAGTTTGTGAAAATACAAGTTTCCAAAACAGTCATACTGATATGCATACATGCCAAATGAGCTACTCAGTGAGGTGGGCATTGACAGTTGCCCATGTTACGTTAGTTGAGAAAGTACAGGTTGTGCACAATAAGAGCAATTGTGTTAATCCCCACTGCCCAAGTGGGGTGGGGAAGGTATACTTCTTGGAACACTTGCCCTTATGGAGGTTACACAGTCAAAACAATACCTGACCCCTAGATTAGCAGTTAATTTAAAAATAAAAAAAATAAAAAGGTATTCTCCGGGGATGACTTGGATAGACTATTTGTGGCCAGTGGCAATGTAGCTAGGCTGTCCAATACAAAAAGTACAACAAGCTGGACAGTAAATGGATCACAAGGAGAGAAGAAAGGGATGTATGCATGTGGACAGAATACTAAACGTTGTATGTTAACCAAAAGTCACACTCCATTTCCTCATATTATAACCACACTTAACATACATTTGTGTATTCTATTTTATAGGAAAGATTTTAAATTTTACTAGAAGATTTAAAAACAAATAAGTCAACTTAGTGCTTGTGAAACTTATTATTGACAGCCTTGGACTACGTCCTTCTTTTCCTCATAGAACAGGTACAGCACAGACAGCTACCTTTCCCACACCTCAGCAATGAGCTTCAGCAATAACCTGGGGCGTGTGTGAAAGTATGTCACTTGTCTTGCTTATTCAGTATTTGGTATCGGAGTTTCAGCAAGGAAGGGTTTTGGTAATGTGAACACTTGTCTTCTACAGTTGGACTACAACCATAAATTCACTTCACATAGGCCACTGAACAGCCATCAGAAAAGGTTTCCATCACTAGTAACAAGAAATGGACTTGAAATTGTGATTTAAAAAGGTGAAATGCTCTGTATTCTACTACCAATCCATGATGCCAACCTTCCTCCACCAGAAACATATTTCCGGCAATTTTTCAGAAACCTCTTCCACACAGTACAAGAAAAGCCGATCACTACATGCCATGAAGATAAATACACTCAAAGTGAGCATCTGAAATTCAACTATATTGTATGATATTTTCATGTGAAGCAAAGATCAAGGAAATAATGGAATCAGGTGTCTTCTCACTGTCTGATATCTTTAAAAAAATGATGCAGCAAAGCCTCTTTTGCAGTTATTCTTGTAGCTGGGTTTAGATCCAGTAGCTTATCAAGTAGATCATAAGCCTCATCAGGAACTCTGTCCCATCCTTTCAAATCAGTTGCCTTTTCTGTTATCTTAATTTCCAAGCCATTGTTACCTTCATGACAGTTCTTCAGATGCTGGATTTTTTCCCCAGGTGGTTGGGGAGCAAACTCCACCTTTTTGTCTGTGTCAATTGCCAAAGCAGGTTCATATAAAGAGTTGGTGTGCACATCGCTTGTTGATTTAGCACAGCTGCTATTTGTTCCTCTCAGTCTTTCACAGAGTGTTCTTAAATCCTGTGCTGGGACTTCTTTAGTACACAGTATTGATTTGCCTATGAGGAAAATACTGTGTTTACTAAGCACTGTTTTAGTACACATACACAATTGCAAATAATTTCAGGGTTTTTTGAGACCTCTCAAAGGCCATAGCTGTCCTTCGTTCAGGTGTCTTCTTTCAAAAATTCTCTTTTAAAAAAGAAATGATCACCATCTCCCATGGTTTCCAGCAAGCTGAATCCAGCATTCTGTGGCCATGGCCCCATTGAGAACAATGAGAGCTGGTAGCCGTTTTGAAAGAGGGCAGTTCTATATGAAGTTCTCTAATACATTAGAGTAACTCCTCACTTAACATTGTAGTTATGTTCCTGAAAAATGCAACTTTAAGTGAAACGATGTTATGTGAATCCAATTTCCCCATAAGAATTAATGTAAATAGGAGGGGTTAGGTTCCAGGGAAATTTTTTTCCACCAGACAAAAGACTATATATATACACACACACTAAGTTTTAAACAAACAATTTAATACTGTACATGATGATGGTGAAGCTTGGTTGCAGTGGTGAAGTCAGAGGGCGGGATATTTCCCAGGGAATGCCTTACTGCTAAATGATGAACTAGCAATCAGCTGAGCCCTCAAGGGTTAACATATTGTTGTTAATGTAGCCTTACACACTCTACAAGGCAGCACAATGGAGGGAGGGGAGAAAGCATGGCAGAGAGAGAGAGATGCATGCACATTGCCCCTTTAAGTACGCTGACCCCACTCTAAGTACATTGCCTTTTTAAACAGATCAGCAACTTGAGACAGTGGCTCCTGCCAGCAAGCTCCCTCTGTCCTGAGCCCTGTTGTGTCCCCACCCTGCTCTATGGAAATGGGGTAAGCAGGGAGCAGGGGGAGGGGGACACCCTGACATTGTTAGCTTTTGCAATTTTCCTCTGTTTAATACTTTCCTTATAGACTTGGTAGTAATGAGGTTTTTGTGTTGCCATTTTACAGCAGGCTCCACAGTTACTGGCCCCAGAGAAAAGAGCAGTGGCATTCTGGAGTTGTAGGAGAT